GTATGTGAGTTCACTTTCGTAAACAGACTATTTAAAAATGAATTATCTATATATAAAAAATATAATAAATTATTATAATTAAAAATGATAATTTTTAATTATCATTATATTTTAATAAAAAGAAATTAATATTAAAATTACATCACTTTTTACGTCATTGAAATTTATATAAATACGGTTGAGCGTTTAGCATTAATCAGAAGTAGACTGATAATTTTCTTTTTTATAAAATATATTATTCGTCGTATATATAAATAATGTGATATTAATTAGTATAATTATTAAAAAGATTATACGCGAAAACAATAAGTTGTTTTCCTTCTTTTACCATAATAATATTAAATTGATAATAAAAGAAATTAATATTAAAATTACATCACTTTTTACGTCATTGACATTTATATAAATACGGTTGAGCGTTTAGCATTAATCAGAAGTAGACTGATAATTTTCTTTTTTATAAAATATATTATTCGTCGTATATATATATAAATAATGTGATATTAACTAGTATAATTATTAAAAAGATTTTACGCGAAAACAATAAGTTGTTTTCCTTCTTTTACCATAATAATGTTAAATCGATAATAAAAGAAATTAATATTAAAATTACATCACTTTTTTATGTCATTGAAATTTTATATAAATACGGGTTGAGCATTTAGTATTAATCAGAAGTAGACTGGTCATTTTCTTTTTTTACATAAATTATTATTCGTCGTTAAATAATTAATGCAATACTGATTACTACAAAAAGCTTATAAAAATATTCAGTGTTAAAACTTGTATCATTGAGTCAAAACTTATTTTACAATTAACTAACTTATTATCTACAAATAAATATGATGTCTTATTCAGAACAAACCGAATCAGATTGTTTAAGCAGTGATGTAAGTAAAATATTTATTTTTATTTATTTTATCTTTATTTATTTATTATTTATATTAAAAAAAAAAAAAAATGCTAATAATTTATAAATAGTTATAAACATGTTTTCAGTTAACATTTTACTATTAATATTAATTATATTATATTTGTAATAATTTAAAAAAATAATCTAAGGTATTTTAAATATAGAATGAAATCAATAGTTCTTCAGAAAATAAAAAAAACCCAATTTCTCCGATATTAACGAAGAAAAGAAAAAATAAAAAAGAACTGAAGTCAGTTAAAAAAATTAATAATGGAAATGTAAGCATTTATATTTTATGAATGTTCTCTAAATGGTAATTATTAATAATTTTTCAATTTATTTTATACATGTACAGCCTATAACATATAAAGATAAATTAAACGCTGTTATAACATCTGGCAAATTTGAAGACACTAATTTAACGGACAGCATTTCAATAAAAGAAGATGGAAAAACATATACTTTTAAATCTCCTACTTTATCAGGAGAGGATTATTGGGTTATACAACACTATAAAACTAAAAATATTACAAATGTTGCTCTTCAAGACAGGTAATATATTAATAATAATTATAAATAATAATTTGTATTTATATACTTTCATTTATGTTTTTTAATCTTAGATGGAAACAGGCTGAATGCTCTATTAAATTAATAACTTCTAACCTCCGTGGAAGTAAAGATGTTAATATAAATAAAAAAATGCACGCTATCGTGGAAGAAATTCTCACACGTTTTACATCTGATCCGAAAAACAAAATGTCTGTAATGAAAAATGTTAACAAATAAAATTGAAAATTATACATGTTTCATATACATTTCAATAATGAAATCTTGCTTATTAAATATTGAACATTAAAAAATGAATTATTATTAATATTATAATTTTTTAAAAAAAAAAATAAAAAATGTAAGATTGTCTACATTATCTTATAATATTATTATAGATTAAGTAAAAAGAAAAGAAAAGTAATTGAATGTTGAATTACAGAAATTATATGAAAAACGTATTATTGCATACTATACTATAACTGAATTTAATTTACAATATTCAAGCATTATATATGTGTGTGTATATATATATAATGATTAATATTAAATTTATAAGCAAACATTTTTAAAAGTAAAAAAAAAAAATTAAAAAAAAAAAATTGTAATTAATTGAATCACTGATTTCTACCTTGTATAAACAATTAAAAATCAATCTATTTTAATACATGTCTAAAATAAATTTAAATGTAATAAAATTATTATATATATATATATTATTATATTATTATATATAATATATATATATATATTTAAACACTATGAAAAAACAAGGTAAAGTTAATATGACCATTTTATACTTATTGTATATTTTAATATGATTTTATTATTATATATTCAATATTATAATATTTATAAAAACTGTTATTACATAAAAATAAAATAAATCTTTAAAAAAATCTAATTTTATATATATATATATATATATATATATATATATTAAATATATCTTTCATGATACAAATAACATAACATTTATTGATATAAATCTTTTAATATTAAATTTGATAAAGTAGCAAATTGATATTGTTGTATTTCACATATTAATGACATTCCTTCCAAGTTAGTATCGTAAACATAATTCTGTATATATTGATAAATAAAAGCATTTGATTGACAGCTGATGGGAAGACTCGATACTGATTGTTTAAGAGAATTATAAAATAGGTTGAAACAGTTTTGATAACAATTAATTTTCTTCTGCTTTTCTATAATGTACGAATCTATACACATTTGAATTTGTTTAAGACGACATAGATCGATAATACTTAATGTAATCGAATTATTATCTAATCTCAATGTAATTGAAGAATATTTTGCGTTTATTGAATAACATCGATTTTCATTTAACGAAACTGACGATTTTGTAATTAGTTTCATTCATTAAATCATTCCAATTTAATAAATCTAATGTAAAATCATTTTTACTTGTTCCAATTAATATTACGACTGAAATTTCTTTTCCTATTAAATAACCTACTGTCACATATTTTTTATTATGAATTTCAAAAATTGATTTATCAACAACGGATGGATTCATGATAAAATATTATTGTTCTTATACCAATTAATTTAATTGTTTTATAACTAAAAAAAAGAACACTTTTAATTCTTGATAATACTTTATTTTAAAGTTTTTTTAATAACGTAGTTGATTACTTAAAATACAGCATATAACTGAATCGAAAATGAGAATGTTTCTCATTTAAATACATCAAAAATGAACACATAGATTATGCGTTTTAACACATCTATTTTTAACTAGAATTTATTATATTTATATATATATATTATTATATTATACATACCTACATTATATTATATTATATTCCTATCCAATCCACCGTCTATCTAAACCTAACATATCTCGTTAAAAATCGACGCGTTAAACCGCACGGCTACATGCTCACGAATATATTGAATACAAATTAAACTATATTATAAATAGAATATAATTATATTTATAAAATATATTTACTCATGCATAATATAAAAATGAATATCATATTTTTATTTATCAACTTCATCACATGGAGAATAATTATGCATGTTACAACAATTAATACTTAAATTCTTATAGTTAAATTTATTAGTAACATCGTTTATAAAATTAACACTTTTACTTAACCCTTTCAGACCCAAATTTATTTTTAGTGAAGTTAAAAATTTTTTTATGGCATATTCATTTTACTGTGGACTCTAATAAGAGTAAAATATAAAAAAAATTTTTTTTTTTATTTATTGACCAATTTGGGGGTATGTCCTCTATAAGTGACATTGGGTCTGAATGGATACTAAAAATATTTAATTTAAAACTATCATATTATATTTTAAAATTGTTCAATAAGACGTATAATACACAATGTAATGTAATGCAAAACAAACAATTTTATTCATATTTATAATTAAATAAAAACAATTCCTGTGTATAAAAAAACCATAAATTTTAGTATACCTTTACATAGTAAAAAAATACAAAATAACTTTTTCATTGGTGAAAATTAAAAAAACAATTACTGGTTCCATCAAGACATAAATGGACATCACATTTTGTGCAAAATACGTGCGTTTTTCTTTTGCATCCAGGATTTTTGCATCTCGAAGTGTGCCCTTTTGTATCGAATCCAGGAAAATGATCAAACCGATCTTTTCGCACATCGTTAGTTGGCTGACTAGAGTCAACTTTTCGTGCTTTAAATATAGATGTTACATCGAGATTTTCTTCGATATCTGCACGAGGTCTTCCTCTACGTTTTGGCGTTATAATTTGATTCTCTTTTATTAGATTTTCCGCTAGCTCCATACGAAAATGCAACAGATCTTTTCTTTTTTTTTTAATGATATAATGGTCTGCGTCGTTTAAATATTGCAGCCAACAGTTTGCTACTACTAGATCGAAGGCATGAACGATCATTCGTAATGTCCATTTTTTTGAGCGTATAAATGTTCGATAATAACTGATGAGTTGGTCTATATTATCGACACCACCCATTGATGCATTGTATGCCGTAACTATTTCCGGCCTTTCAATATTGACATACTTTTTTTGTTTTTTGTCCCAACGTCTAATAGTTTCCAATTGTCCAGACCCAATATAATTGGAAACTAAACACACGGACCTTGTATCATGCCATTTCACCATACATAAATTGCAGTTCTTCATATCTGTTGAAATTTCAAATGCCGTACCTCTACCCATTTTGGCTAACTGTTTGTCAGTTAATAAGGGTGGGTTAGCGAATCGATTAGTTCTAATAGTACCAATTGCGTATATTTGGTTGGCTTGCAACTGTTCAAATAAATTGAATGTCGCAAAAAAGTTGTCAAAATAAAGATAATGCCTATTTTTTTCAAGATGTTGGGTTAGGTGTAATACTACACTAGCACCAAGACCAAATTTTTTTTGTACCGTTTGATCTAATTCAGTGGTAGCTCCTTGATAAAGAAGTATGTTGTATGTCATACCACTTTCACCACATAATAAAAATGCTTTTATACCCCACGGGCAGGGCTTACCTTTCACATATTGTTTCATTTGCAAATGTCCCTTGTAAGGAATCATTTGTTCGTCGACACTTAAGTTCCTTTCAACTGGTAAACTATTCATTTTTGTATTAATTGCGTCGTATAATGGACGTATTTTGATAAATTTATCAGTATTATTTATAGGAATTTCTGTATTATTTATTACATGAAAATTTCTACGTAAGGAAAAAAAACGATCTCGTGCCACATTATCCTTAACAATATGCACAGCAGTAGCATTTTCCCAATATAATCTTACTCGTGGATACTTTAGACATCCCATAATCAAATGGATCCCAATAAACTTTTTTATTTCGTTAGAATTGGTGGGTTTAAATCTAGTCTGCGATGTTTGAACAGCGTATAAATTAGTATAATATACCATTTTATCAAATATATTTTCATCAAAATACTGATAAAAGTAATCTGAAATAGAAGGCATTTCTGAAGGATAATTTTTTTCCTCTAAATCTTTCAAATTTAAATCTGGTGTACGAAAAGGAACTCTGTCCCATTTTATATTTTTTTTGTCAGATATATTATAATTGATATACCCACTTGTATTTTCTGGTTCAATAAATTCGTCTTGGTCCTCGTTTAACTCAAAATCATTTAATAGTTGTTGTAATTCTTCATTCTCAAATAACTCCTGCGTTTCCTCGTCTGAAAAATCCAATTCCGACACGTTACCATCCCCCAATAAATCAAAAATTTCATTTTCTTGTAACCCCCTAGCCATTTCGAATAAAATATAATAATAGAAATAACTATTATAATAATAATAAATAATAAATAATAAAATATATAATATAATAACGTAAAAGCGTATAATAATACGGCGACACGGCGTAATAATAACAATAGCGTAGACACCTGCCCACTGACAAAGTGATTACGAATGCACGAACGCCACAAACATTCCGACCCAATGTCCTCTTAAGGGGATTCAACATCGACGTTTAAAAGAAAAAAA